GGTTCTCCCCACCCTCCCTGGGAAAATTGGATCCTGCCATTTGCAGATCACAACTGAATGGAAATGGAATTTGTGTGCCAAAAGGTGCTGGTGGAAAGATATCTTCTCCTAACTGCAGGCTTCTGAATGTGTCGTACTTCCATTTTTTAAAAAATCAGGAATTATTTGAGAAAGAGTATGTAAAACAAGGATTTTTGCTTTATGATCACCTGGCTGAATTATTTGATAGTTAAGTGTTACTTAAACTAAGTGATGCGAGGGACCAGTAGTATTGTTTTCTAGAGTTCCAGACTCCAGTTGTTTCTTGCTTTCCTGGAAACTCTCCAGGACTGTGTGCTGGTTTGTAGACCAGTAGACTGGTATCCATGGATTGACATAGTTCATGTTGTTATGGCTCACTAGCCACATGTCTTTGCTTTGGGAGATTTTATATTCTGATGCATCTCCCTACTTGTGAACTCTCTGTTCATGGTTTTTGTGACTCTTTCAAAGTTTGGTTGTAGGAGAGATGATGCAAACACTTCTGGCTCCTTAAGACAAAGCTGAACTGCTACCCATAGCCAATCAAGACTGGAGGGAGAAAGAAATGAATGCCTTGTCTTCCTAGATCTTTCATTTCCACTGCTGGAGAAAGTTCCTTTTTGAACAATAACATCTGCCTCTGTGCTGGCTATGGGGATTAAAAGAGCTTATGAGAAAAGGAACTGTGTTGTTGAAGAGTTTCATGACCGGAATCACTGGGCTGCTGTGAGTTTTTGGGCTATATGACTATGTTCCAGTAGCATTCACTCCTGATGTTTTGCCTGTATCTGTGGCCGGCATCTTCAGAGAGAAGAAAGTTGTTCAAGCTCTGTCTCCAAGCTTCTGATGCTCAGAGCTTCTGTAAGAGCTACAGGGTTCTTTCCCCTCCTTGGTTTATTTGATGCCCGCTGCCTCACTTATGTTCTGCTCACACCATGTCTCTTGAATTAGTTTGGTGGTTTAGCGTGACTGTTTTTGTGTGTCTGTCACAGGCCTCTTCTTCTTCTTTCCTGCCTGGCATCACCTTTATACACACTTGTATTCTTTCTCTCCCTCCCTTGGGACTCATTCCCCCATTAGTTCTACAGTATAGAACAAATATCATTGCTTAAAATGCAGTAACTGCAGACTGGTATGCTAGCCTCCTTTCTTCTCTTCATCCCATTCCCCAGTGTTCTTGTTGATTGAACACAGTCACCTATATTCTTGGCAAGTATTTGGGAAATGTAGGTTACATTTACAGTGTGGCTTAGTGCTGATCCACAAACCATCATTTGCTTCCTGTGGTAAATTTCCAGAAAAGAAGACAACAGGCACAAATATTACACCAGCCTTTGGCATGTTAGAAAAACACTTGTGTGTCCCCTGCAGGGTACAATCCTGTGACACATGTGGCTCAATGTTTGTCTGTTACAACAGGCTGTGCTTTTATTTAATTTTAGTTTGTTAAGTTATAATTCGTATTTATATGTTGGGTTATATAATTTTTGTTAGTATGGATATATTGTTGTTGTATTTGGGCATTGAATATTTGCTTTTTATGTTTGGAATCCACCCTGAGTCCCTTTGGGGAGATACAGGGGAGTACAAATAAAGATTATTATTATTATTATTATTATTATTATTATTATTATTATTATTAATTCAACTATGTTGATCACTGTGCTCTTCATACTCTGTTCCATTGGAATCCCCAAGGCATGACTGTAGAAACTGTCTTTGTTATTAAGTGTGTAATGTTTTTCCTGCCGTGTTTATTATTACTGTATAAGTCTAGACATTTTAGTAAAGAAACCAACCCCCAAAACCTGGGTTGATTTATCAGCAGGTTTGTGTAATGTACTGTACTTTAACTTTTATCAAAAAGGAACCATGTCCTTCTATTAAATAGAGTTGCAAAAAGTAAGAGCTTAGTCTGTCCTGGGAGAACCAAAATTAAGTATTGACATCCCCTCTCTGCTTCCTCCACCACAATGCCACTTCTGGCCCTTTTAATATTTGGGAGGAGAAATTGCAGTGGTGACCAGGAATGACTACACCCTTGAGATGGCACTGGCCTTTCCAATCTCTGTGGAATGCCCCTCAGGTTATCAATAATACTCAGCTTATTTATTTGTCATGTCAGAGCAACCAGTCCATTATATTACATTTCTAACAGGACAAAGCAAACAAACAGAAAAATACACAACTTGTGAGTTTGGTAGCTGGTTAAATGTCCTTTGACCAGTATCTGGCCACTTGGAGTGCTTCCGGTGTTACTGCAAGAAGGTCCTCCCTTGTGCATGTGGCTGGGCTCAGGTTGCATTGCAGCAGGTGGTCAGTGGTTTGCTCTTCTCCACACTCGCATGTCGAGGATTCTACTTTGTAGCCCCATTTCTACTCAGCTACTCAGCTTATGATATCAAATAATTTTGACCCCAAACCTGCCCGTCTGGTTTCTTAATCTTATGCCAGGCATCCCCAGTGCGGCCCTCCAGCTGTTTGGGCCTCCCAACTCCCAGAAGCCCAAGGCAACTTGTTCAACGATCAGGAATTATGGGAGCTGGAGGCACAAACAACTTGGAGGCCTTCAGTTTGAGGATGTGTTCCCTAAGTCATTCCAAACCTTTCCAAGTAGAGGTTTTTCTTGCTACCCATCACTCAATCACTCTGGCCTTGGGTCCCTTGTCAGTATTTGACCTCACACATCTATTGGATGGATTGGTTTACTCTTTTTCTCCTTTTGATTTGACTGCCTTTGTATCATATATTCTGTACAGTTAAACCTAGACCAAGCAAAATTTGATGTTTCAGTTTGCTTAGGCCAGACAGGTGCAGTCGTTTTTGCATTTGATTACAACATGAGATCAGCGTTTGAATCTGCTCTGCCATGGAAACCACTGAGCAACCTTGGATATGTCATACTCTCAGCAAATCCTTTCTGAATGAATCTTGCCAAGGTTTGCCATATGATCGCATTTGGTTGGAAATGATTTGAAGGAACGCAACAACAAAAAGTTTTCCTTTAGAGCAACCCCCACAATAGAAATGGACTTATTGACAATTTTGATTTTGAGAGCAGTGTGATCCAGCGCAGTTCACATAGAGAGAGTGGCCTCCAGATGTGTGGAACTTATCAACTCTTAGTTTACACCTTACTGCATTGGTTCCCAACCTTTGGTCTTCCAAGTGTTTTGGACTTCAGCTCCCACAATTCCTAACAGCTGGTAAGCTGGCTGGGACTTCAGGGAGCTGAAGTCTAAAACACACGGAGGACCAAAAGTTGAGAACCATTAGCTTTACATTGAATAAATGTTTGGGTCTCAGTTCAAGGTGTGTCAATGTGAGCTCTGTGGTAGTGTATATTCTTGATTGGGTTACAACATCATTTTCACATATGAGTATGTGAGTAAGTCAAAAGAACCTGGGATTTTTCTCTGTCGGACTTTATCGATTGACTGGGCTCACTCTTATGCCAGCATGCCTTCCAGGTAGCCAGCTTCCTAACAATGTTTGCTTCTGCTCTGTCATTCTGTGGCTCTTCCTCAGCTGGCATCAGTTTGTCTTTTGCCTCGCTTGCCCTGGACAAAATTGCACATCTGCAAATACTTTCTTGGATAGTGAGAAGCCTGTCAGATCTTTCTTTTCAGTACATCTGTCAGTTTCAGTGCAGGCTCTGGTCAGTTTCGCTTGTGCCTTGTTGTGGCTGAGTTGACACATAATGAAATCAGGGCTATATATTTTAAATGTTAGATTACTCAACAAATGTTTGTATGAACCAACCTGTGAACTGTAAGCAGAAAGCAGCAATGGGGAGGGGTATTGCAGGTGGTTGCCCCAGATACACCCTGAAAGTGCAAGGGAAACTCTAGAAAAGTCTTGATTTTTCTAAAAGTTTCACAGCCTTCCCAGCTGCAAACCAGCTCCTTGGATGAACTAAACTTAAAGATTTTTTTTCTTTTGAAATGGATGACTTGTGTGGCCAGAGAGCTGATCCTCATGGTTCAAGAATGAGTGAGCTACAGGTAGTGTGAAGATGTATTACAGACAGGGCTTACAGGATAAAAGTGGATGCTATAAGGATATGATTCTTGCCCCTTACTGCTGACCAATTTATCCTGCTAGGAAAACAGTCATTTCTAATTTCAAATACATGATTACTGTCATCCCCCAGATGCCAAGTGGAATCAGTGTACTCACAGCCAAGTTGAGTATTTGAGTCATGGAAGCCAAGCGTTACTTGCTATCTTAGGTTTAGGGCTAATGGAAAAGGCTTCATTATCGATTTAGCAAAAGAATTTCCTGACATGGCATGCTGTATATATGCTCAACTACAATACCTGGTGTTGTGAGTGATGGTACTTACAATTAAATACACCACCAAATTCTGTCGTATCTTCCGAGTGGTGTCCACTTGATTTTTTTGGACTGTGCAAGGAAATAACCCAAAGCATGGCTTGTATAGCATTCTATGGAGTTTCATAGTAGAGTTTGGATGGAATTTCCCTCCTAGTGTTGTTTAGGTAAGAATGTGGCTTTAAAAAAAAAAGAAATCTATCTAGATTGAGCTGTGATATGGCTGCAAATTCCTGTGTGTCTCCAGCTATGAAATATATTTGTTGGAAGGTTTTCATCCTACTCTCTTAGTAGGAAGCCTCAAATATGACTTATATGTGATTAATAAAAACAAAATATCCTTTGGCCACTGGCTTGTAATCTTAAAGTTATAATATAAAATAAAAAAGGAATGAAGAGGGAAAAGCAAACTTCAGCAGTAGTTCTTAAAATGGCATTTCTTACAGTGAATTTCAGTAAAAAAAATACTTCAGTGATGAAAACATTGGTATTTCCATGGAGCCAATGAAATGGCCCTGTTGCATGTGTAATTTGCTAGAATGGGCCACTTGTAGGTGCAAACTAGGTGTATGAGAAATGAGAGAAATTTGGGACAAACAATCATTGTATGAGGTCAATGATAATCTTCCACTTTCTTGTTGCAGCTGACCAAGTATACGGTGACCAGGACATGCATGAAGTCGTCCGGAAGCATTGTATGGATTACTTGGTGAGTGCAAGGGAAAGGCTATCTTCAAGATCATTCTTCTATTACTCCCTCTAAATCTGGTGTCCAGAACTAGGATTTAATGTTCTGTGAACATTGCCAGTCAATGAATAGTTACTTATCTAGAGGTTCCTTCTAAACAAAAAGCACCCCTGTCCTGCCCTGAAGCCATCCTGTGTCCTACCCATTTGGAGCTCTGCAAGTCTTTTTAGCCCTCAAACTGCAAGAAAGGGTTTAGAGGAGGCCAGAGCAAATTTCCATGCTAAACCATCTCTTTTTTAAAAATTCAGCTTATAGAACAGTTGGGGAATTGTTCTGAAAGGAGTTTGGCTAGTCATAGCCTTTTGAGATCATGTAGCCCCAGAGGGAACCTGTCCTATTGTCCTAGCTACAAAGCAGCCCTTTCCTCTTCTTGTTGCTCCATGTTGAAGCCTTTCTCCACCTGATCTTGAAGTCCTTCCATGTTACAGATGAAGAATGCCGATTACTTCTCCAATTATGTGACCGAAGATTTCACCACGTACATCAATCGGAAGCGGAAAAACAACTGCCATGGCAACCATATTGAGATGCAGGCTATGGCGGAGATGTACAATCGACCTGTGGAGGTTTACCAGTATGGCACAGGTACACTCAAACTCCAGTTTTGGTTTCCTCTTATCTACCTCTCTCTGATTATATCAAGAGCACTTAAATAAACCAGCTTCTCTGTGACCCACCTCTCTTTCACCTGGCTTTTTTTCTCTTTTCCAGAGCCCATTAACACTTTCCACGGCATTCATCAGAACGAGGATGAACCCATCCGAGTGAGCTACCACCGCAACATCCATTACAACTCGGTGGTGAACCCCAACAAAGCTACCATTGGCGTGGGGCTTGGATTGCCCTCCTTCAAGCCAGGGGTGAGCCTTTTGTGGGCAGAATGTGTGAAATGGGACAAGATACTTTTTTAGTCTGAGCAAGACTAAAACTAACAAAATGAAGTTCAACAGGGACAAATGCAAGATACTCCACTTAGGCAGAAAAAACGAAATGCTAAGATACAGAATGGAGAACGCCTGGCTTGAGAGCAGTACATGTGAAAAAGATCTTGGAGTCCTCGTGGACAACAAGTTAAACATGAGCCAACAATGTGGTGTGGCAGTAAAAAAAGCTAATGGGATTTTGACCTGCATCAATAGGAGCATAGTGTCTAGATCTAGGGAAGTAATGTTACCCCTCTATTCCACTTTGGTTAGACCACAACTGGAATATTGTGTCCAATTCTGGGCACCACAATTCAAGAGAGATATTGACAAGCTGGAATGTGTCCAGAGGAGGGCGACTAAAGTGATCAAGGGTCTGGAGAACAAGCCCTATGAGGAGCGGCTTAAGGAGCTGGGCATGTTTAGCCTGAAGAAGAGAAGGCTGAGAGGAGATATGATAGCCATGTATAAATATGTGAGAGGAAGCCAAAGGGAGGAGGGAGCAAGCTTGTTTTCTGCTCCCTTCGAGACTAGGACGCGGAACAATGGCTTCAAACTACAAGAGAGGAGATTCCATTAGGAAGAACTTCCTGACTGTGAGAGTCGTTCAGCAGTGGAACTCTCTGTGTGGTGGAGGCTCATTCTTTGGAAGCTTTTAAACAGAGGCTGGATGGCCATCTGTCAGGGGTGATTTGAATGCAATATTCCTGCTTCTTGGCAGGGGGTTGGACTGGATGGCCCATGAGATCTCTTCCAACTCTTTGATTCTATGATTCTAAGAGACCGGGGGTATCAATATTTCCCTCTCCCACCCCCAGTTCCTGGTAGCTGTCCTGACAGGATAAAAGGTTGTTTGGAGAGATGAAAGATAGTAAGGGGAATTTTGATAGAAGAAGAGGGGCAGGGAGAAGCTAGACTTGCTGAAAGGCATGGACCAAGATGCAGTCTACTATGCATTCCCTAGTATAGTTGCTTGTGGGTAGTAATATTTTTTTAAAATAAAACATTTACATCTTACAATTCTTCAGAAATATCCCCTTTTTTCCAGCGTGGTCTTGAGGAATGGCCTAGTAATTAACCAGCCTGCCTGTTAGTTAGAACAGCGGTGAGCCACTGTGTCTCTTCATGTGGTTTTTGAACTGGAGCCCCCACAATTCACCATTGGCAATACTGAGCTGATAGGGTTAGGGTAGTTCAGAACCATACAGAAGAGGTTCCCAAGCCCTGTGGTGGAGACAGGAGAATCTGTCCAGAGTGGTGAATAATTGTCTGCCAGCCATTTGGTGCCACCCTCTACTCCAGATGTGATTATCCGGCTTAACTTCTCTAGCTTCCCTTTGTGCAGTGGTGATACCACAACACATTTACAGTAAATGAATCCTGCTCCTTCCATTCTCTCAAAGGAGAAAGAGAATACATGTGTTTTGTTTATATAGCCACAGTGTAGGCATTGCTCCTTCTCCTCTAAGTTATACATTAGCATTATGTTGTACTCATGGCTGACAGGGCCACCCTCTCTCTCTCTCTTTCTCTCTATCCTCATATGGAGAAAAGAAGCTAACCTTTTAAAAATGAGTCTTGGCTAGTGAGTTGAGGGCTTGAGTAGTGGGTGCAAGGCTTCCATGTGTGTGTTGAACCTCCCCTACTTCTTACAGTATGCAGAGCAGTCCTTGATGAAGAATGCAATCAAGACGTCAGAAGAGTCGTGGATTGAGCAGCAGATGCTGGAAGATAAGAAACGGGCAACGGACTGGGAAGCAACCAACGAAGCCATTGAAGAACAGGTTGCCAGGGAGTCCTATTTACAGTGGCTACGCGACCAGGAAAAGCAGGCCAGACAGGTTTGGCTGGATCCCTCAGACAGAAGGGGAATGAGGGCAATATCTTAGGGATCAGTAGAGGCTGAGTGTCTCTTCTGTCCACTAGGAACTGGCTCATATGCCAGACTGATTCAGGGAGGGTGAAGAAGACCCTCTGTAGCCCTGAGTGGCATCCCCATTTTCTTCTCCCCACAGCCCCGAAAAGCCAGTGCTACTTGTAGCTCTGCCACGGCGGCCGCAGCCAGCGGTTTGGAAGAATGGAGTGGCCGCTCTCCGCGTCAGCGCAGTTCAGCATCTTCCCCAGAGCACCCCGACCTGCACAATGAGCTGAATGCTGCCAAACCGCCTTCCCCTGGAAGCACAGCAGCTCTTGCACTTACCAAACCCCCCTCGCCATGTGCTCCTGGTGAGTGCCATGTGGGTCAGGGCAGGGAGCACCAGGTTTCCTCTCTGGGGAATGGCCTCCGGCGTGCCAAGGGATTTGGGGGCAGTGTGCCACAGGGAAAGAGCTAGAAGATGGATTGGACACATTCAAGCCATGCCATACCCACTTCCAAGCATCAGCACACAGTACACTTGTAAACCATCATGGGTGTGTTGATGCCTATTCTGGTGGCCCACATTGTCAGGAAACAGCCATGCAGTTTGTCACTTTCCTATCTAGAGAACAAGGAGATTCTCTATCTGAATTTGTATGCCTGTGCAGCAGGAATACAGAAATTGTGTTCTGTTTTGGCCCAGTGATAATTCTATGAAGGTTGAGCCTTTCTTTTTGTTGTTGGAAGATAGAGTAGAAGCGCTATAGGTGCCATTACTATTATGCAGCATTGCAGGCTCTTTCTTAAGGGTTGCATCTTTGTAGTCATTTTCAAAAGCCAATAAGGAACTACAGGCTGGAGAAGATAATCTGGAAGGGAGCAGATACAAGAAACTGAGTCTTACCTTTACAGGTGTCTCAACCGCCTTTCCTGTTGTGATGGAATAGTTTACCTGAAGTGTTACAAACAAACAAAAGAAAATTTTAATTCAGGACCTGAGAATGTAACATAAGATGATAAAGTAACAGTGCATAATAACTCTGCGCAAAAGCTAGAAATAAAGCCCCTTTCAGACAAGGGATCTAGCTGTAAAGTACACTTTGCCTCAAAGCTTTAAATAAACCCTGTATGCTTGTATACTCAAAATGCTTGTATGCAAAAAACCAAAATTTTTCAGAGTTTGAGGAAAAGTCAAAATCAGAAGGGATTTTTTTTTCAGATAGGCTTCCCTATCTGAAGGCTGTTTTCCTGCTTGAGCACCTCCACACATTTTACTGCCTGAAAAAAAATGAAGAGAAGGTGTGGTCTGTGTTGCTCTTCAGATAATTCTTGACTCCAGTGCTCAACATCCCTTACCATTGACTACACTGACCTGATCTGAAGGGAACTGCAGTCCAAAAGCATCTGAAGAGCCACATGTTGCCCAGCCCTGTTTTCTAGCACATGCGTTACAAAGAATAAGACAAGCAAGCAGAAACCGTTTCCAGAATGCATACTCACAGCACTGGTTTAAAAATCTCCTTGCTGCAAATATGAATTTGAATCTTCATGTAGATCTCACCTCCATCCTCAATAGCCAATATTTTGACTGTTTTCATATTGTAATCATTTGAAAGGTATGATCTGCCTTTGTTGCAGCTAAAAGGCATCCTGATTTTTGTCCTTGAAGATCTCCTGGGGTCCCTTTAAAAAACAAAAGAGAACCCAGTTATAACACTGTTGGTGGCCTCTGATGAGGTGTAGAATGTGAATTAACCAGCACTTACTCTGGCATAGCTGAATATTCCACCCTGTCTTCCCTCACCTGCACAGGAACAAGCAGCCAGCTTTCTGCAGGCAGTGGCCGAGCAACCCCTCCCTTAGTGTCGTTGTATCCAGCCCTGGAATGCCGGGCAATAATGCAACAGATGTCACCCACAGCGTTCGGTAAGTACCCTCCTGATAGGCAGTGAGGACATCACAGAGAACTGGTTCTGTCCTTTCAGCTGTTAAAAAATGATAACCCAGATTATAACCAGAGGATTTCCATGTTTTTCTCTTACAGAATCTTACATTTAGTAGTTAAGTTCAAAATGAGCTAACATTTACATCCTTTTTCCCTTCCATCATGTGGACTAGAAACTTGCCTTTGCTGTTACAATTTTGGATAAATAATTGAATTCCATTGTTGGTAGCACACTCTGCAATACGGTGTGATTGCGAATTTCTCTGTCCTTTGTGTTGAATTCATAGGAATAAATTGACTTTCTTATGTGGAGGTCACTTCCAACAACAGTTTTGAAGGAAGATGAATGCTATAGCTTTTTATGAGATGTCATACTTAGCCTAATTTGCTTCTGGCTACAGGTGATGGATGGATGTTATGGCACAGTGTAAAAGAAAATAAAGCATTAGAAAATGTAGAAATTGTGGGTCGTAGTGCTTTGAGCCCTAAAGTTATTTCTACTAATTATGTCTTACGTTATGTAAAATTAAACATTCTCAAGTAGGGAAAGATAAACTTTTTGTATACATTCTGGAACTGGAAAATTAGGAGCTTTGGATTTAGTCTGTCTAAAGCCGAGTCAAAACTTGTTTTGATTTATTGGTACATTTTGAGATCTTGGTGTAAATGCTGAGGTAACTTATGTGAATGGAGCTGTATTATTGAGTCTAATGCACACATTTTTGGGTTAAATTCCATTGTCAAAATTGAGATTTGATAGCACTGCTTCAATGCTTCTGAAAGTGAAGGCCTGAGGAAGGGTTGCCTTATTGCCTAGGCTGGACAATCTAGAAAGTGTTGTCCCAGGGCACACGAAGTGGCTGTGAGGCAAGATATCTTGCCTGGGGCTGGAGGAAAGACAGTGGCCACAAAAAGGCTGGTGGGAAGATGCGCCCCTCCAAATGTAATGTGAACTGGCAGGTGCTGTGAAGCGTCTGGCAAACTTGTATTGCATGGTGAATTTGAATTTGCCAACCTTGACCTGATGAAAAGTCATTGTTGCTTCATACTATATTTGGAGGTCATGGCTTCCCACCAGCTTTTTGCAGCCGCAACTGCCTTGCATTACATTCAACAGCAAATCCTTTTGTTGTTGTTGTTGTTGTAATGCACACCTTTTAAAATTGAGGTGCGCATCAGTAGCAAATTATACTTGAGTAAATACAGTAGAAAGGGCTTTGGGGCAGATAGCTCTGTGTTGATACAGCCTAGCAGAACATGGAACTAAGGCAGTAGACTGGGCATGATGAGGTGCCAGCATGTAAAGGGAGCACAGGAGGGATGAGGATAGAGAATGCTTGACATTATAGACCACAGATGGGGATAACTGTGCCTTCCCAGAATGAATGGACTCTAGCCTCTATAGTTCTTCCCTTTTTTCTGTACTTGTGAGGTCTGATGCAAGCTGGAATCTCATAACTTTTGGAAGGCTCCCTCTTTCCCGCATTCCTGCTCTGTAGCCCCATCCTCAAGCATTTCCATTATTTCTCTTTTGGCAGGCTTGAGCGACTGGGATGATGATGAAATCTTGGCTTCTGTGCTGGCCGTGTCACAACAGGAGTACTTGGAAAGCATGAAGAAGAGCACCCTGCACAGAGACAGTGGCTCCGACAAGAGTTGATAACTCGCTGGCGACTCCTGTGTTCGCCTGACACCCTTAGGTGCATGTTTTTTGGCCGGAAGGATGACAACGTTATCTGGGACCCCTCCCCTCCTCTCCCTCCTCCTCTTCCTCCTCCTCCGCTGCTGCTGATCAGTGCTCCTTGGGCTGCCCCTTTTGCTCCTCCTCCACTTTAGACTCTCTACATCCAATCCCCCGCTCCCCTTGGTTTGTCGGGGGAGACCGCAAGAGAGGGACAGGACCTCCTCGCAAAGGAGCTGGAACACGCACAAGCTGGGGCATGCTGGGCTTCCCCTTCATCAGCCATTCTGTCATTATTAAAAAAAGGAATCTTGTCCTAAGTAAGCCCTCCCCACCTTGGGATGTGTGTCCACGGGGAGGGAGAAATGTTGTAATTTGCTTATGGAGGATGAGGGAAAGTGGACTGAAGTTGAATTGAGGGCAATGAGGCATAGCTGCTTTTGGTTCCCTCTTCCCTTAATACACTGTGAGAACGTGGGATCTAGCATTTTAGACAACGAGAGAGGGGTTGACAGTGTGGGCGAATGTTTTCTGCCTTTCCGTTGGAGAGGGCTCTTCAACATGTAACCAATTGAACCGATCCGCCATCACCTCTGAAGAACAACTCTGCCTCATATGTGCAGGGGGGCCACCTGAACGGCTGCCTCTTCATTCTCCCTGCAGTTATATGCCTCTTCTTTTTTGCTTCCCATCTGTGTGTATTTTCCCATGTGTTCACTCACTGCTCCTGACCACCCTGATAGGGGCCACAATTTCCATGGTTGCAGTGGCTTGTCCAGCACCGTGGTCCCTCTGGTGCTGCTGATGTTCTTGGCCTTCCTTTGTCTCTCCTGCTGCTGCCTCTTTGATTCTTCCTGTGCCTAGCAGCAGGGGAGGGGCCACCCGGTGTCCCTACTTGCCCGGGTGCAGGCCAGGTCTTAGTAATGGAAGGCTGTGGAGGTGTTGGTCACCAAATGAACTCAGAAAGTCAAAAGATGGAAGTTGCAAGGGCAGCAGTGGGGAAGGTGCCAGGCTTTCTCACAGCAAGGGCAGGTTGAAACAGGGCCATACATATATCTTCCTGTGTCCTGGACTAAAGGTCAGTAAGCCCTAGAAAGAAAGAATCTCTGGCAACTTTCCTTCCCCCAGGTGCTTGTCTTCCTCACTACAGCTGTAGTTATAACCCACATACAGTGGCAATGTTTGCTCTCCAAGCCTCGCGCTGAACACATTTCTGACTTCCACTTTCATGTAATGGCAGACCATGCTCAATCACTCCTCCATCTTCACCCTGAGTCCCAAATCCATGGGGTGAATGGGATTTTCTGGAGTTCCTGCCTCCTTTTGTTGCTTTCTGAGGCTTCAAAGAGGCAACTTAAAAAGGCGGAAGGGAGATAGACTGCTGCTTTAGATAAATTGGATCCATGGACGACTGGATTAAAAAGTTAAATTTGGTGCCTGATAATAAAGTATAGGAGAGTTGACCTCCTGCTTTCACTTCTTTCTCTCTGTTCCTCCCTTCCCTTTTCATGTGTGAGATGGGTGATTGACTCCTGTGAACAAAAGGAAAAAAACCAAGCTAAAACAATGGGGATGCACTTTTAGTCCATCTAAGCACATTTCTTTACAGGTAACGTCGATGGTGCTTTCTAGTTTTCAAAAAACTATACCGCTAGTAGCTGGACTTCAATAGTTTTTTTCCTTGCTTCCACATAAGCGCCTTGGTCCTTCAGATACTTGGGGCATGAACTCTCAAGATGATTGGCCTGCTAACTGGGTCTTCTAGAAGTTAAAATCTTATACATCTGGATGGCCAAAGGATCATGGACCTTGATCATCCAAGAGAATGAAAGTTGAGCTTCTGGTATTCATGTGTTCATAACCGAATGCTTTATGGGATCCTCTGCCCTTGATGTCATCCAGGTGCTGGTTTACGGTCAGTTAGTCAGATTCCTGCAAGGATGGTATAAGGAGAGTAAATCATGTAAATACAACTTTGTTTTGATCTAGTAAAGCAATCAAATTGACTTTGAGATGCATTAAATGGAAGGATATGCACACTCAGCATCACTGGTAACTGTTCCTTTGGCTGTATCTCAAGGAATTACAAAAGGAGGTTGAAATGAATTAGGAATGTACTAATGGGTTTGTAAAAAATACAGGGTACTGAGGAATGGGGTGGGGGGTGGGGAATGGCCACCAGATCCCTGGTTCATTCTCCTGGCCTTTTTGGATTTCTGCTGCCTTGTGTCCTGTCAGTTTGTTTAAAGCAAAAAACCTAAGGTGCTCATGGATTGTGTGCTTGAAGGTAGATTTTGACAGCAAATCTTTTGGAAAATCCATGTCCTTGCACACAGGACTTCATGTATTTAGAGTAAGTTAAACAAATACCCACTATCTAGTTGATCTGTCCTTTGATCTGAACCTCATTCTTCACTTGCTGTCTTGTCACCTTATCTCCACTTTCTTCTTGGGATGGCTTCAAAGGTTACCATGACCCACCATTAGAATTTCTACCCTTCGATCTCTACAGAGAACTGGTTTTGAAATCACAATGTGGTAGTCTGGAATTGGCATCTAACTCCCATTTATGATAGAATGAATCAATGCATATTTTTGTGATGAGTTAATAGGCAGCTTAGACTTCTAAGCTGCCTATTTTTTTAATGAAAAATGCAAAATGTATTGCCAGTCTTAGGGCCAGTCCATCATACAATCAGAGCAGACCACTATTTTGTAATGTGGAACAACGGACAATATGATACCCCCTTTCATTTCATGTATATCAGTCAGATGTATTACAGCTGAACCTTACTTCAGCACTGAATGAACACATCCGGGCACCAGCCTGTATAGAGAGCTCAGAATAGGGTCTGAGGTACAGGTCACCCTGCTATCTAACTGAGCAGAAGATGGGTTTAAGAAGGAATGCAGGACCTGCCACATGAGGCAGTTGCCTCACTGCCTACCAGTAGAATTTGACCATACTTGCAATCAGCTGGATGTTGGAAAGATTTCATAGTAATCAAGTTACAGGCTCAAGTAAGTTCTCATGCTATTTACTCCATTGTCCCCAAATTTACCCTGTAAATCCCAGTTCTATGAGTAAGGCAAGATCTGGTGTGTTATATTGTAGAATTGATGCAGTTTGACATCACTCCACTATGGAACTCTGGAAGTTATACTTTTATAAGGTCTTAGGCTGCCTTTCCCATAGAGTTCAGGTGCCTTCCCAAACTATAATTCCCAGGTTTCCATAGCATTGAGTCATGGTAGTTAAACTGGAATCAAACTGCATTAATTCTACAGTGCAAATGCACCCCCAAGACAAAGATCCAGTTCTTTACTGTAAAGATGTGCTCGCCAAGCCTAGCAAGGACTGACATACTGCTTTTCAAATTAATGTAATCCATATTATTGTCTTCATGACTATATCCCAAAAAAGCTTTATATTTCTGGATTTCCTAGTCTGCAATGGCACCACTGCCTAGGTCAGCAGAAAAGGAGCATGTATCAATCCATTGCTACCTTGACTCTTCTAGTCTGTTCCCACTTGTAAGTAACATTAACATGTCATAAAGTCATTGAAACTGTTGGCCAACAAATTACTTTGTTTCCAGACTGCTAGACAGCCATAGGATTCATCCTCCTGCTTTAGACAAGATGAATAAGACAAGAATCCTGTTCATTTTTATTAATGACTTAAATGAAGGGTTGGAAGGCATTGATCATCAAGTTTGCAGATGACACCAAATTGGGAGGGATAGCCAATACTCTAGAAGATAGGAGCAGAATTCAAAACGATCTTAACAGATTTGAGAGATGGGCCAAAACTAACAAAATGAAGTTCAACAGTGACAAATGCTAGATACTCCACTTAGGCAGAAAAAATAAAATGCAAAGATACAGAATGGGGGCTGTGTGGCTCGGGAGCAGTACGTGGGGAAAAGATCTTGGGGTTCTCGTGGACAAGAAGTTAAACATGAGCCAACAATGTGATGCGGCAGCAAAAAAATGGGATATTGGCCTGCATCAATTGGCCTGCATCAATAGATCCAGGGAAGTCATGCTACCCCTCTATTCTGCCTTGGTTAGACCATATCTGGAATACTGTGTCCAATTCTGGGCACCACAATTGAAGAGAGGTATTGACAAGAGGAGGGTGACTAAAATGATCAGGGTTCTGGAGAACAAGCCCTATGACGAGCAGCTTAGAGCTGGACATGTTTAGCCTGAAGAAGAGAAGGCTGAGAGGAGACATAGCCATGTATAAATATGTGAGAGGAAGTCATAGGGAGAGGGGAGCAAGCTTGTTTTCTGCTGCCCTGGAGACTAGGACACAGAACAAAGTACAAGAAAGGAGATTCCATCTTAACATTAGGAAAAACTGCCTGTGAGAGCCGTTCAGCAGTGGAACTCTCTGCCCCGGAGTGTGGTGGAGGCTCCTTCTTTGGAGGCTTTTAAACGGAGGCTGGGTGGCCATTTGTCAGGGATGCTTTGAATGCAATTTTCCTGCTTCTTGGAAGGGTGTTGGACTGGATGGCCCATAAGGTCTCTTCCAACTCTATGACTCTATGAACCCCCAGAGCCTTCTTTACTATCATCAAATCACAGCATCATAGAATAACCAGAGTTGGAAGAGACCACGTGGGCCATCTAGTCCAATCCACTGCCATCATGGCCTTTTGTCTAGGCAGGTGCATTTTTCCCACTGTAAACAGTAAAATGTGTCCTAGGGTCCTTTAACTCATTTATGAGTAAAGATAGGGCCCTCATTTCTCTCCTGCCTAGTTCTGATGCCAGTATTTGAAAGTCACGTGAGAAGAAGGAATACTGGGGATCTCTTACAGAGTCCCATCTCAGGGTTGAGAAGAAACAGCAACTTGTTATTACAAGCCTTGAGGCCATTTCTAATTTATAGTAACATTAAGGTGACCATATCACAAGTTTTTCCTGGCAATTTTTGTTCAAAGGGATTTGCTGTTGCCTTTCTTGAAGTTATATGAATTGCCAAGATCACAGACTGGGTTCCCAACACTGAATAGGAATTTGAACCCTAGCCCCTTGGAGGTTCTAGTCCAATGTTCAAAGCACCACACCGGTTCTCAGAAAGTGGGGCAGAAAAGACAAAATCCCCATGACCCAGATCTTTGCAGAACCTTGGGTCCTGGAGGCTTTGCTAGATCTGGCCTTGAATCACTTCCTACAGGTATAATGTAAATATGGGTACATGCTGTTTGAATGTTGGACTAGAGTGCTGAGTCACAGGGAGTTCAAATTGCCATAGAAGCCCACTGGGAGAGCTTTGACAAGTTTCAGATTCTCTCTGCCTTCTCTTTTCCATTTTTGACCTCTGTTCATTTCAATTGCTGCAAAAAGCAAACGTAGCTTGCATTAAGTTAATGGGAAGGGAGGGTAGGACAAACAAGGAAGGAGCAGAGTTTTGCCTTTCCCTATAGACTTGCAAACGTAAACCACTGTGCCCTTTCCTATCTTGTACTTTCTTAATTTAACAACCTCTACCATTTTGATCACACTTAGGTTTCACTTTAACATATATGTGTTTTCCGGTTTTTATTTGCAAAATGTTCCTCAGCATATGTTGGGTAAAATTTTTACACCTGTTGTTTTGGCTCAGGATTCAGATTCACTCCCATTTCCTGTGTGTCATCCCCCGGCTGGCTTCCTGTACCTCAATCATTAACTCAGTCGGTGACAGAAGCGGATGAATTTGATGATAGAGGCAGTGATCAGAATTCTGACTTTCTTCCAAAATTGGACCCAAGACAGTTTCCAAAAGAAATCAAACAGATCAAAATGCATATAGATGAAAACATACAAACAATATGATTCAAATATAATTAAATTATAGCATTGGGAACAGCTTAAGCCATATCCTTTAGAAAACCTGGAAATAAAGATATTAAAGCTTTTAATTCCTGCAACTAATTCCTGCCCCAGTGGGTTAAACCGCTGAGCTGCTAAACTTGTGGACTGAAATTTCACAGGTTCTAATCCAGGAAGCGGCATTAGCTTCCACTGTCAGCCCCAGCTTCTGCCAACCTAGCAGTTCAAAAACATGCAAATGTGAGTAGATCAATAGGTACCGCTCTGGCGGGAAGATAAAGGCGCTCCATGCAGTCATGCTGGCCACATGACCTTGGAGGTGTCTATAGACAACGCTGGCTCTCGCTTAGAAATTTAGATGAGCACCAACCCCCAGAGTCGGACACGACTGGACTTAATGTCAGGGGAAAACCTTTATCTAATTCCTGCAAGTCAATTGGAAGAAAACTGCTTGACTACTACTAGAAGGACAGCAAAAAGGGGATCATTTTGACAAACTCAGGAAAAGATAAGGGGCAACCACCATAAAGGCCTTGTCTCATATCCATACCTATGAGGCTGGTGGAAACAACAAGGAGCTCTCCTTGAGATATGGACTATCAAGAGAGCCTGATCAACCAAATAAGTCTTTATATGTCATAACAAGGATTTTGAATTGAAACTAGAATCAAACCACTACAAATTGATGATGTTTAAGAAGGGGGTGTATTCTACCCATGAAAATTATCTTTCACGGTGGTAGTCTAAGGCTGGGGCAATGGTGTCTTGGGAAGCTCTCAAACTGTACTGGGATCCTTCACTACTTGGGGCAGCAACCAAGAAGGCCCTTGCTCACATTCTCAGCAGCTATTCCTATGATGGTGGTGGACCTAAGAGATTTATTTGGGTGAATATGGAATATTGGAAGGCCTGGAGCTGAACACTGAGTTCTTTCTCATAACATGACATCTCCACCCCAGTGGGATAGTAATAGCCAGTGTCAGAATTATGTGTTCCTGCATTGTAGTGAATTAGACTAAATGGCCCTTGTGCTCTTTTCCAGCTCTATGTTGCTACAATAGAGGAGCTCTTCCTCTGTGATATTTGTGGCAAAGAAATGCTTCATGCTACATACCAAAAAGAAGAAAGGCAAAATGAGGGCCAGATCCAGGAAAAGGACCTTTCTGGAAGTAAACTAGGAATATCACCTGTAGTAAACACCAACATAATTTAAGTGTT